TAATCAAGTATGACCTAAACTTGTCAAAGTAAAGAATATTGCTAGATCTTTTTAAATTATTGTATAATTAATTTGTGATTCATTCAATGTTCTACTAGCATAGTATATAATGTGAAACTTTTTCTCCACTCTTTTCCCTAATATTGTTTCTACATCAAAGTCACTGCATCACACATCAGTTCAAAATTTAGTGACCAATCAAGAGCAATGATAATGGGTGTTGAAATCAAATTCGTTTTCAAAGTTTCAAAAGCTTCTATACACTTATGATTAAAATCAAAAGGGATGTCATTTTCAAATAAATGACATAAAGGCTTCATAATTTTAGACAAGTCCCTAATAAATCTTTTATAGAATCCAGTGTGACAAGGAAAACTTCTCACTCCTTTAACAAAGGTAGGAAATGAAAAATTTTTAATAACCTTAAATTTTGTCTTATCCACCTCCAAACCTTTCTTGAATATCTTATGGCCCAAGATAATGCCTTCTGAGACTATAATAGACAATTCTTCCAATTTAGCACTAAGTCTGATTCTTCTCATCTCTTCAATACAACAACTAAGTGATCAAGAAAAAAGAACAAATAAAGTGCCAAATATAAAAAAATCATACATGAAAATCTAAATGCCTTGCTCAATCATATCTAGAAAGATAGACGTCAATCCTCCAAATATTACAAGGGCATCACAAAGTTCAAAAGGCAATCTATAAAAAGAAAATGTACCATAAAAGCTAGTAAATATGGTTTTATTATGATCCTTAGGTGTTATAGGAATCTAAAAATAACGTAAGTAGCCATCCAAGAAAAAAATAGATATCCTGGAAATATATCTGGCATATGGTCAATGACTGGAAAAAGGAAAAGTTCTTTTCTAGTGGTTTTATTCAGCTTCCTTGTAATAACCTGCATATTGATTCTGCTAAATATATTTTTTTTATGAAGTCAATATAAGTCTAAATCACAAACTATCTTCACCAGAGAATTATTATTGTAGTATTTTAATTACACAATTTTTTTTCGTAATTTTTGGGCACCATTAAAATTCCTTAAGAAATTTGTACCTCTCGGTACAAGTGGGGATTTTGGGACCGTTAGGTGTCTGTTTTGTAAACTGATTTTATCAATATTTTTGAAATAAAATAATTTATTTTATGATTATTTTTCTATAATTTTTAAAGTCCGAAAATAATTTATTTGAATTTTTTATTAAAAATTGATTATATTAATATTTTATTATAAATAGCATTATTCACTAACATATTTTATAAAACTTTTTTAATTTTTTCTCTCTCATGCATTCGGCTAACAGAGAGATGGCTTAAGAAATTTGAGAGAAATTTGAGAAGAGAGAAAGAAAAAGCTTGGATTTAGAGGTCGCATGGCGATTTTCGTTCATTGATGCAATTAGAAAATTTACTCGTCTCGCTGTAAGGAACCTTTAACTTATTTCTGATATCAAAGATTTTGCATTTTTTATATTTTTCTAATCAAACTTGTGTTTCCATTATCGAAAAATAAGAATAATTTTATATTGGTAAAACTTTCTCCACGTAGCTTTTTATATGTTATAGAGATTAAGATTATGAACGTTTTAAATATTTATTTGAGATTTTTCACATGATGGTTTTGAAAATATAATAATTTTTGCTTACTTAGAAATTTATTTAGACGTCTAAAAATAGTGATTTAGTTCAATAAAAGCTTTAGAATATTATTTTATGCAATATTTAATAATTTGATTCAATTCTGAAAATGTAAATTTTTGCTTAGTATGATTTTTGTTTTCTACCTTTATGATATTTTCCCCTTTTTAAATTAAGTTCGAATATATTTTATTTACTATAATGTTTTGAAAATAAATGTGGATAGATGATTAGATTGAGTAATAGCTAGCAAATATTACATTTATAGTATTGTAATAATAATATGTGTGTAAAGGCTAAATAAAGCTGGTTGACCCATTGGTTGGAGACTGATTGACTTGTAGAAGATGGTGGGCCGATGAACTTTCCTTTAAATACTGTAATTTGGTGTTATCCTCTACTGATTCATGAGATACATTGATTGAGAGTTATAAGAAGATGGTTGTTGTGCCAAGAGAAAAAAAAGTGACGTCTTTGTTTACTGAGCAAATAGTTTATTGATATTGATACAATATTGAAAAATATCGTGATAACCAGGACTTCTTGCTTGTTTAGTATAACTATTGAAATGCATATTATTGAGGCATTATACTTATTATTGTATGAATTTATTCTTATATAGATTTACTGTTATTATATTATTTTATTGTTGTTACCAATTTAGATATTAATACTATTTGATACTACTGATTTATTGTACTTATAGTAAGCATGTGATATACAAGATTTATTCAGCATATGATTAAGATATTGAGCTTTTAATTGAGATATTGATTTTATATTGATATAGAATAATTGGATAGCATATGCACACTCTTATATGATTTTATTACATTGACATAATTTTGACAGTTTTTATAAATATTTTGATTTAATTCTTTATCCGATTTTTATAATGACAATTATTACAGATACATCGATTGCTTTATTAATTTGACACTTGTATTAGTTTATTATTTTACTAGCTTATATACCATAGTATTTTACTATTTATAGATTTATTACTATTGCATATAAATTTTACTATTTCATTGATTCAAATATCATATGAATATTACTGCTATGATTTGATCCCTTACATGCATATTACTTATTTGTCGGGCTTTAAATTCAATTGTAGGTTTTGGTGACTTGTTTAGCTTTTTAAGTTGGTTATATGTGGTTAAATGATTTCAAATCATGATAGAGGATCAAGAGTGTGAGGTTAGTCAGGATTCTTTTAGGTTTAGGTTCTTTTTATTTTAGCTATTCTTTTGTACTCATGATATGATATATATGTGATGATTGTATAGATCGTGAGTACTATTATATATAATTTTTGTGATTGAATATAGATGTATACATTGATATTTTGAATTATATAATTTGCTTCCGTTGTTTATTACTGATAAATAATATTATGTAGCTCTAGTTATTATTATTTATTAAAAGATAAAAGATAATTATTCCAAATTGATTCTGGGACATCACATTCCTATAGTCAATATAAATTCTCCAACCTGTGACCGATCTATTTTATATTAACTCGTTCTTTTTATTGGTCATAATAGTTAAACCCCCCTTCTAAGGCATACAGTGATAACTCAAGCACTATATAAATTAAATAGATAATACATGCATCAAGCCATTTAAGCAACTTTTTTTTCAATTACTTCCTTCATAGCAGGGTTCAACCTTCTTTGAGGATCAGCCTTTGGATGGGAGACTTCTTCCATCAAATATTATTGCATGCACAATGATGGACTAATCTCGTGTATATCAACTATCATCCAACCAAATATTTTCTTATGAGTCTTTGGTACGTAATTTCACAATTGTACTTTATAAAGGTTGATTTTAACATAATTAAATGTATTAGATCTATGTGATATGATTGTATTTGTATCTAAATAATGTATAGAAGATGCAATTTTACATTTTTAAGTTGATGCCATCAATTATTTTGTTGAGTTGAGTGATAGCTTTCTAAAGCAATTTATAGTGTTTAATTGACACAATTAGAATATTTGTGCTCTAGAATCTTTTCTAGCCATTCATACATATGCAAAACCTATAATTTTGAATGTTTTTGTTTTGTAAATCGAATGCCATGGAAACATTGATATGATTTCTTGTGTTGTGGGATTATCGATATTCTTTTGACGCATTTATTCATGTTTATAGCATCTTGTCTTCACTTCTCATATTTCTTAAGGGCGATATCCTAAGGTAGACAACATAGATATATGTTCAATGTCCATAAACATGTGTAATACCACATTTGTTAGCAAATTATTGGGTTCGGACACCGGACGTGTTCGGAGCTCAATGAAAATACGCCACATCACCTACTACTCGGTACTGAACAGTACCAAGCAGTACTGAGCTCAGTACTATCGGTACTACTCAGTACTGTGAATACCGAAAGTAAGCTATATCAGGTGTCCGAACCCAATAATCTCACCCATTTGTTAGCCTAGGACTAGGTCCCCTAAATCCCTTAGCTTACGATGTAGCTATAGATGAGGTAACCCACGTTGCATTATTTTACATACATAATTATATGTGTGTATTATTCGGATTATACCGAACTGTGTAAGTAAGCAATCAAAATGGATATGCTAGAGTCAAACATACCCAATGAGCATTACAATATAGCTCTAGTGCCATCAGATAGTGTGATGCAGTTAACTAATGTTATAGCACAAGTAATGGAGGATTTGGAGGAAGAATTGATTCTAGTGCAGAATAATTCGAACATACTATAGAACAAATGACTATAGGATCGAGAGCTCACAGTAAAAGATCAACAAACAAGATTGATGATAAAGCTTTTAGTGGCGGTCAAAAGGAGACTGTTGCACCATAATTAACTATACCTACTCCAGTGATGCCATATATGTATAACTTACAGTATCTAAAAGACAGACAACAATCTAGGAGTTCTACTGGTAAGATATTTATTTTAAATAATTGCATAACATAATATATCACGCATAATTAAAAGTTTTGCCTGCGATTACTTTTTTATTGCTTTTTAAAATATTTTTTAATAAAAATTTTATCTTAAACAATATCAAAATTCTTTTATGTTTTATAAAACGGTTTTTGCAAACGGGTCGGTTTCTAGAAACCCGAACCCGGCCCGCCTCGGATTCGGGTCAACCCAAACCCGAAAATTCCGGGTCGGGTTCGGATCGGGTTTTCGGGTCAGATCAAATATTGACAGGTCTAGTTTCATTTGCGACAGCTTTTTTATTATTTTTTATAAAGTAGTTTTTAAAAATAAAAAAAAAAATTTATAGTGAATTTTTTTTTACTGAAAAATTACTTTAAATAAGAAAGCTATTTCAAACGAAATCAAAGATCATCGATGCTTGTAAGTTTGAGAAAATATGCTCAGTGAGATAACAAATCAAAACAGTTGGTTCATTTCCACTTCAAAATCATAAAACAATGACATAATATTATGCAGAATTCCAAATGCTGAGAAATAAAAAAAACTACGAAAAGCTAATCCAAACAAGTTCGTCATCTCACCTATTGCACTTCATCTTTGACAACTTCTTTCTCCTCTTCTTATCAGCTTTGGGAATTTTAGTTTTCCGGGCCTCCCTCTTCTCTTCCTTGACCTTCTTCTTGTTCTCCTTCCGTGCAGATCTCCTCTCGTCAGGGCTTAATTTACTCTCTGATTTGTGCGGTGAATCTTCTCCTTCGGAATCACTGCAAGACTCGCTCTCATCAGATTCTCTTTCGGCCGCATCACCTGCTACGCAATTTGTCTGTGTATCGGCTCGTGCTTCTTCAGCGAGGTCTGACAATGGCGGACGGCTGGTCTCATTTCTGGTGTGTATGAATCCCAATAGAGGTTTGTCATAAATTTCTTTTGCTTCTGGCTCATAGGCAAAGCTGGGGCGCTGAAGCATTGCCATTTGAACAAGATCCTCCTCACATTGCTTGATATAGTCTAGGGTCTTTTAGAAGGAACAGTAATGCAGAGCGACATGCACAAAAGTTAGTACAAATGCATTCAACAAATTAGGATAAAACTGCAATCCTTAGTAATAAATAAATAAAAACTTTGGCATCTACAGGAAATGCAATTCTTATAAAATTGACTCTAAGAGAATCTCCAACCGAAAATCCCATTTTTCACTCCAAAATGCAGTGAAACTAAAAAATGTTGTGATTCATCTCCAATCGAACTCCATTTTGTGCGGTAACCGTCTTTCTCCTCTTTCACGTGTTTCTTTCGCAAATCCGATAGAGACAGAAAAATAGCGTAGGTGAACAGTGCGACGCCAATATTGGCATCGCACTGTTCACCCGCAACTAAATAGCGGAAGTTTTGCCGTTCGGCTGGAGCTTGCGAGCGACGCCATTCATGCATTCGGAGTTCGGTTGGAGAAGGCCTAACTCCCTCTATAACCCCAATGTTCAAAATGGCTAATCACACCTCCCGGGAATAATATATTGTATGAGGGGAATAGAAAATAACCCTCTATGTTCCCTCGTTGGATTTGTTTTCCACAGATTTCGAACTGGATTCATCAATGATATGGCAAGCAACACAGATTTAAGCCAACTTAGAACAGGCAAGAGGTCTAGGAGACAAGCTAAGGATCCAGCTTATTTCTCAAAACTAACAAACTAAAATAAAACCAACTCTTTGTCTTCGTTTGGGATGGCTTTCTTACTGCTTCTTAAAACAATTTTTTTAGTAAAAAATTAAATTTTTATACTAAAAAGCTGCTTTAAGAAGCAGTAAGAAAGCCGACCCAAACGAAGCCTTTTATCTCCCTCTCTCCCTCCCTTGGAAATAATTGAAAATAAAACTAACACAGATCAGAATGGTCACTTCCAAGTTTTTAGGAGATTACATGGACATACACAGTTGGTGAAATAGGATCATCTTCCGCCATGTCTCCTCTCTCCATAATAATTTTCTGCTGTACCTGAAATCATAAAGTGATTATATGTAAATCACCAGAGACCTGCCAAGTTGACTTCCACTAACAGGTAAAAGACAAATTACCTTTTCAAGGTAATCATCAACATCGCCATCATCAATGGCTGTATCAATAACAAAATCAAATAGTTCTTTAACTGCCATGACAGTAACACCATTTTTCTTAAAGAAATCCTGCAACAACATGGAAATATTCAAAGAAAACATAAAACAAACAATAGAGCTACAAGGGAACAAATCACTTACTGAAACATGGATGCAGTCCTCACGTAAAAAGTCTAAGGCAGAAGGATGATCAAGGTCTACTGATTGAGAAACATCAATAATATACAAGTGGCCCTGGAAAATGGGAAAAATACTTCTCAAGTTGTAAAAAGGGATCAAAATGGTCAAGTTAATAGTAGCAAAAGAATGTGTAGGTACAGATCATTAGAAATACCTCAAAATACAGTATGTTGTACTCACTAAGATCTCCATGTACCAACTTGCATTTTTGGTATAATGCCCGCATTGTCATAATAATCTAGAACAAGAAAATTGTTTACCATTGGAATCAAAAGAACCACTCATGATAGAAATAACAAGCATAAGCATGCTAGATCACAAACAATCTATGTAAAAATAAAAAATAAAGAAATACAAAAAAAGAAAAATTAAATAAATAAATAAATAAATAATAAAGAAATACTATGAAGTATCTGATAATAAACAAGTCAAAATAATGAAGTAGAAAATCATTAGATGCTAAGGAAATTAAATAGAAACAATCAATCTACGTAAACATAAAAAGAGGTAAAGAATGTTTTGAACAGAAAATCTTTTTTTTTTAATTTGCCGAAACCAAAAAAAAAATCTGCATATTGATATTCAGTTAATGTCATATCAATTCTTTGTGAATCAGAGTGAAATTGAACAAGAAATTCTTTTTCTCCTTTTATCGATTAATAATAACTTAAATTATGATGAAATTGAACAAGAAAATTCTTAAATGTACTAGATTTTAGGGTTTGAGCTTGAGTGTGCACAAGCACACAAGAGAGGATACAAAAAAGGGGGTTCTAATTTAGGCTTCTAAATTGCATACAATTAATATCTTAGAATTGGAGTCACTCAAAAATATTAAATTGTATGAGAGAGAGAGAGAGAGATGCAATTATCTATACGTTTTGAAAGATTAACAATTCAATTTTTAGAAAAATATTTCATGTCATAACAGAAGATGAACAACCAAGACATCATAACCACTTCAGTAAACAGTAGAAGAGAACCTCAAGGTAACTTTCATGTAGCTTGTCTTCAGACAAATTGGCATCCTTTAGTCGAGGAGCAGCCCAACCTGCTTTACCTGTATCAGATAGGACCATCCCGTAAGTTGAGAAGGATGTTGATAACTCATTTAAAGACCCAAGGAATTAATTACTTAATTAAGAGATTCATACTAATTCAATATTAAATCAAAAAGTTATTAATAAATGCTATATTCAATTGAAACAGTTAAACTGAAATGATAAATAATGAAAATTTTTATTTAAGATAAATGAATAATTCTAAGTTATATTAAAAAAAAAACATAATTTTAAAAGAAAATCTAATGGTAAAAGACTTGAACAAAAAAAAATCATTTTGGAATAGATAAAATGAATAGTGAGATGTATAAAACAAAGTGTAACGTATTATATACAAAATTAAATAAAAATACTAGTATCAAAATGCATGTACATCCATAAGATCGTAGTAAAGACTAGTCTCATTTAACAATATTATAAAAGAGGGAGAGCGACAGAAAGCGAGAGACAGAGCAAAAGAATTAAAGAACAAATGAGGCAATGGACCAAGCAAATGAAATGAGGAAGTGATCAATAGAACGGAAAGATGATGGGAGGAAGCGGGAAAAGAGATCAAGCATGCGGATGAAGGAAAACAAACGAGAGGGCGAAGGCAAGTGGACCGAATGAAGAATCGAACATGTAAGGTTCAACAACTACGGGGGGTTAAATCAGTCAAGTTGTGCTCGAGCCACCCTCGTTTTGAGAGCATTTTATATTAATATTTTTAAACGAGTTGTCTTGCGAGGTAATGAGTCGCGTCAATCCTAGAACTTTAGCTCATCGAGCTCAGTTCACCGGCCATTTATTAAGCTGAGCCTGACCTGACTCACAATCCAACTCGACTCAAGCTTCCCCCTCCCCTCCAAAAAAAACTGAGAGGAATTCAATGGGTTGTCAACAAAATTCAGTAAGAGTACAAAAAGGAGTACCGAGATGGCAATCTGAACAAATAAACATGCTATCCACAAGGCAACCTTCAACGAGAATGAATTCCTGAGCAAGTTGAGTTCTTCGAAAAGAAAGCTATGTGGAGGAGCCTACTTGAAAAATTCAACTACGAGGTCAACATGGAGAAGTCAGCAATGTCACTTCCTTGGAAAGAACATCGACATGGAGAACTAGGCAATAGATCTTGACGTGAGAGACCCACTTGGAGAGGTTAGCAAGAAAATAAGAAGGATCTTCTAAATGATCCAAGAGGATGTTGTTCCAGGTGGGTTATAATAGGGGCTGAGCAAGAAAGTCAGCATGATTATGGAGAAGAAGCACTAAAGTTTATATTGTTGGTGCAGCCCGAGTGGTCCTTCTTTGGGGCTCAATCCTGGGTTGAGTTTGATTGGTATGGTAGATTTTACTAGGTGGATTCCACTTCTTAGTGTCACTCATCTTGCCAATTTTTGGCCACATGCACGCGCCTAATAGGCACAAAAAATCATGCATTTTAGACTATTGGAACTAGCATTGGTATTCCTCGTTGCTATAGTAGATGTCGAAAGAGTATTTTCTTTCATGAATATTATAAAAAATAAACTGCGAAATAGAATTTGAGATCAATGATGAATGATTTATTAATATTTGTATTGAGAAAGAAATTTTACATTCTATTGAAAAAGAAGTGATCAATCAACTCTTTCATAATATGATGAATAAACGTTATAAATTGTAAGTTGTTTACTATCTTATATTTAATATTATACATTTTTTAATAATAATTGAATAAAAATTTTTAAAATTGTCTATGCCAGCCCAAAGCCCAGATGAAAAAAATTGAGGAAATTTTTTAATAAAATAATTAATAAAGCCAACAATGTAGATAATTGTACATTTAGTTAAGGGGTTTTAAGATTTTAATGATTGATTGGTATATAAATTTAATATACAACAGTTATTGAAAGATGATAATGTATTTTTAGTAAGTGTTTTTATTTATGAGAATAATTTTTTAAAAAAAGTGAAGCTTATTTTTAGTAAGTGTTTTTATTTGTGAGAATAATTTATTAAAAAAAGTGAAGCTAAAGGAATAGTATAAGTTAGCTAAAATAAAAATTTGTAAGAGATCGTATATCTGGTTAAAGGTACAGAGTTAAAAAAAACAGACTTGACGTAACAAATCTTTTGAGACTAAGGTGAGTTTTCTTATTTCTAAATTGTAGTAATATTCTTTTCTCATAACCTAATGCATTTACTTGAGATGCTTATATTTCTTGTTCTTTTATATTTCATAAGATTATAATGATTTTTTCTCTCTCAATGCAAATAATCTCTTATATTGGCATGAATGATGAATATGTCTCCGCATTAGGTTTTAAATATACCCAATAAGTTATTTATATAATTCACACCCATTAGTTGAAATTATTTTACAGGAAAATCTCCTACATAATAGATGGGTGATAAAAAAGAGTTTGTATATATCAGGCGAGGAACATCAGTGGATAGGTTCTCATAAATGTAGTATATATACTATTATGTATTTCACAAATGTTATTGATAAAAAAATTATATATTTTTGTTATTTGGACATAAATAAAATGTGTGGTTTAATAACTCATTTGCGTATTAGAAGAGTTATTTAGGAAAATTGATCATAGACACCTATGAAAGTTCTCCTGTAAGTTTTGTCAGACTCCTTAATATATTTTATGACAACAATTTTGTGCAGTGTCATCCAATGGGTTTCTAAGTGTGAATTTCAGAGTTTACCACCTCACATCAACAATATAAATGGTGAGGTGAATCTACTAAGCAAATGAATAATTTACCTACTTTGAGGATGTGCTTAAAGTATACAAAACATCAAAACTTCAAAATTCAAGTGAATGCATGAAGATTCCAAAATGTGCTGGTATAGCATAATTTTAAGTCTAGTATTCAATGTATTTGGCTGAGTATATCTTAATAAATAATCTCAAAGATGATGAAAACATGATATTTTGATTTAAAGTATTCAAAACTTATTTTCCAAAAAAATGTTCTATAATTTTTTGGAAATTTTATCAAGTTGATTTTCTATTTCTCTCATAATTTTTATATTTAATTATTTGTTAATTGTATCGAATTGATTTTCTAGCCATTTTATGATCATATATGTGTTAATTTAACTAACTATATATGTTCCATTATATATATATATATTGAATTTATTTGACTATGTTGATAAGAAAATCATATCATTAATCATTTAACTTAAAATAGCTTAATTTGAATATCAATAATCACTTTAATTAAGCGGTTTTCATGTTGGCAAGCCCACATGATTTTGCATGTTTCATGCAAAGTTAGAATTAAGTATGCTTAATTATGTTAATTAACAAAATAAATTTTAATAAATCTCGACTCTTTATTTTAACTTGAAATTTTTATGATAGCTTATTAACATATATATATTTCAGCAAAAAAATATTTTAGATTTTTTTAGTTATTTGATCCATTTGAAAATTCTTGAAAATATGCAACACTTACAGTTAATGAAGAAAAAATGAAACATGGCTTAATTCATATTCGAAAGAATTCATTGGACTTTTTACAAGTGATTCTATATGTTAATGACCAAGTTTGGATGTGATATTAATTTTTTATGATTATCCAAAACAATACTTGTTTGCTGTTCTACCTGCTGCTAAAATGGGAGCTAGCCAATAAGCTTTCCTTTGTGCATGTTAAGAAGATAATTGATGAAATGTTCTGCTTTGAGGAGATAAAAGTGTCACTAACCACATTTGCATTGTACAATAAAGAGAAGAGATAGTACGAGTTCAACAATACAACAGATTTGGAGGTCGGCCCAGCTTTTTAATCGAGTGGGATGAGTTTTTAAGGACATTATTGGAGTGTTTTGTGCTTCTTTTTGTAGAGCAACGAATGCAAGATAAATCCATAAGGTTGTTACAAGGAGACTTTATTAAAATGGTATGCGGTAGAATTTACAATGCTCTTAAGATATGCACCTCACTTAGTTCTTAATGTAGAGGAAAAATGCTATCGACTCTTGGTGAGCTAAGGGACATGATCAAAAAAGACCCTAATTCTCTTAAGAATCAATGGTTACTCAATGTTGATGGAAAGAGCTAGAAGAATCAAGATAGATCTTCAGGCAAATCGAAGGCATACAGATTCTCCAAATATGAAAAATATCGAAGGATCAAAATTTGCTCATATTACTCAATCCAAGAGTTCTAGCAAGTACAAGTCAAAATCAAGTAGTAGTAGAAGCTACAACATCCAAAATTGTAAAAATGTGGAGGACACCATAAGAGAGAGTATTTGTCTAGCTCAACTACTTCCTTTTAGTTTCAGCAACTTGGACACATTAAGAGACATTATCCCACACTTGATCAAAGAACATAAGGAACAAACATAGTAAAGTAGCCTCTTAGAGGAATTTTAGCTGTCAGAGAATGATAATGTCTACTGCATCTACACCAAGTCATAGTCAGACACAACCAGGCTCAAGTTTGTGTTGTCACAGCATGAGACTTAAGAACCCCCTGATATTATCACAAGTATAATTTGTATACAATAAATAAACAACTAAAGTTTCATTTGATATTGAAGTACCACATTTGTTTTTTTTTTTAGGATTTCACCAAATCATCTAGTTTGAATACTTTGTATGCGCCTTTTCAATATCACGTTGATGCCCAATGCATTCTTTATTTCTATGACTTCTATGTACTCAACAAGAGTAATGATGAGAAGCTTAGTTATATTACCCTTATCCAAGTTCAATATAATATTAAGTAGGGATTGATTATCTAGCTAATTCGTATCTATAGATGTTGCGAAAAAAAAAAATATCAAGTTTCATATCCCTTGCAAAGAATAGTTAACGTATTATGATAATTAAGGGGCATCATCAATGATAATATATTCCTATAAGACCTTCAAATTATTGAAAAATGGACATCAAGTTTTTCAAGCCCAAGTCAAATATATAATCAAAGAGGTTTCAGGGCTGAATGAAATCTCACTATTTAAAGAATATTTGGCATCTTCTTAAAAAATTGCTTAGAGTATCTGATGAGGACATCGACAGACGCTACCGACATGTTTATCGCCGGCGAAACCGCAGATCGACGGCCACGATTCGGCGCCTCTACTTTTGATTTAGATGTCATGATGTATTTTAGTATTGTCTTGTTTGATTTACTGTTTTTCCCATTTTACCCCTGTGGGGAGTTATGTTTCATTGTAGCCCAGAGGGCAATTTAGTATTTTCACTTTGTATGAGTTGAGACCTATATATAGTGGTCTCTTGTATCTTTTTGAGTTTAATGAATTATTGAATGAAAATCTGATTTTTGTTTCTTCTTACTCTTCTTGCATGAGAGCTAGAGAGAAGTGAGAGAGAAAGCCCAAGGTGAGGGCCAAAAGCAACACCCACCAGTCATTGGAAGAGTCTGTGACTCGTGGTTTATCCCCGTCATCCCGCTCTTCTTCGTTTTCCACAAAACCCGCCGGCCCTAAGCCATCCTAAGCCGTCGGCCACCCCACCCTCCCCTTGCCGCCGGTAAACCTCCTCATCACCGACCTCCTCTTTCCCCATTCCCCACAACGGCTAATTTCGAAATTCGAATTTTGAATTTCGAAAACTTTCCAAATTTGGAACTTCCAAATTAGGAAAGTTTTAAATCCGTTTCATACAAAATTCAAAATTCAAAGGATTTCAATTTAATCCTTCCTAAATGTCATGAGCCGATTTGGAAACCAATCCCTTGCTCCCCACACAAAATCCCTCCCCATGAAGCCGCCGGCCACCTTGGACGGGCCCTCCTTCATGTCACCAATTAATGCATTAATTATGCCATCAATTTGAAATCAATTTCAAATTAATCTCCCTCCAATTGTGTTCAAAATCTGAGTCAAATTTCAGATTTTGAATTCACATGCTTCCTCTCTCTCTATTAAGCCGTCGGCCTCCTCCTTAATGGGCCACATTAATGCCCATTAATTGCCTCTTAATCCTCTTGATAATTTGAAATCAATTTCAAATTTCCTTCCCTCCAAATTACACAAATTCTGAAAATTAATTTCATATTTGTGTAACTCCCCTCTTTCCCTTCCTTAACCTAATTTTCCTCATCCCATCCACCCGCCCCCTTCCTTCCCTGTTCCGGCCGACCACCTCCTCACTCCCTCTCTTGGGAAATTTCAGCAAGAAAAGGAGAAGACAACACCCCTCTCCCCGATTCTCTTCAATGTTGAATGGCAGATCCCGAGCTTGAGTGGGGTCTAGTATTCAACGCTGACGGAAGTATCAACGTCCTACGGTCACCGTGCTTCGACGTAGGATTTGAAGAAGAAACCACCGTGGAAGAGTACTTGGAGAGAGTCGTGCCAATCCTTGCAAGCATCTACGACCGACAACTTTCAAAGCACACTTGGAGCCTCGACGGTCACCTACGACATCCATCCCCGCCGGCTACTTTTCCTCCGACGAAGTTCTTCGGCGCCCTCTCTCTAGTGGTAACATCCTTCATCGCTTGGATCTTCTATCTCCGCCAAAAGCCTACCAATCTTTGAGTGAGATGGCCCCGAGGTGAAATTCTCGTTGTTAAACGTTGGGTTTTTGTTATTGTACTTTGCATATTAAATTCTCCTAGAACTTGGAATGAATAGGTTTGGTTAATCTCTATTGCAACTCTTTGGCCTAAGCAAGTTAATATTTTCGAATTCCTAATTCAACTTTTATGTGCTAGCCTTAAATTCGTAAGAAGCAACACTTTAATCGTTTCTATTTAATTTCCAAATAACTCCTAGTAGTTTCACATCAGTATCTCCTGTTAGAAAGATAGAGTTTACAATTAATTTACGATTAAATTTAGTGCCTATAGATCGAAGTGCAAATATGGGCCAGTTTGGAATCATTTATTATTATTATTATTCTTTTTTTGTAAAACGTGTTTGGTTTGCCTTTTTAAATTATATATATTTAAAACAAACCAAGTTGTTTTTAAAAATACTAAAATAATTTTGAATTTTCATTATTTTAAAATGAAAACCACTCTGACCAATCGTCACCACCACCACTATTATCATTGCCCAACCAGTGTGCATGTCATCAGTATTCAGTAACACCACTAACATACATCATCACCACGCCCTCATGATTGCGACTACCAAATAAATCCAACTTATGCAAGATTCAATAAAATTTGCTCATAATAACAAATACCAATCAACTATTGGAATGGCTCATACAAAACACTATATGAAAAAAAATGTATAACACATTCATGTTTGCAAAAAACTGGAAAGAAAAAAAATAATGCGTTTAAATATGGAAATGAAACTATATATAAAATATTTATATGAGAAAAATTATACATTGAACAAGAAGCCAGAGGGAATATTATGATGTTAAATACCGATCATTTGGAATTTGATGATGGCAAATTTGTGTTAGTTAAGCTCAGTCCAATCAATGGTGTAGTTCAATGTAGGAAGATTAGGAAGCTAAGCCTTTCAATACAACCTGTCATCCCTTAACTGAATTAGAAAAAACTATATAGAGTTTGGAAGATTACTCAAGTTGTTTGTTCTTGACTTTGGTGGAGGTTGGAAATCACACATGCCACTCATAGAGTTCTCTTATAGAGTTTTCATCATATGAAGCACTCAATGAAATAAAATGTAGAATACATTTATGTTAGGAAAAATATGGCAATAGAAAAATAATGGGTTCAAATATGGCAGATGAGACCATAGATGAAATAAGACTAATTTGCGACGGATTGAGAGATGAATAAGGTAATAAAAAAATATTAAGATACTAACTACTGATCGACATAATTGGAAAGTTAAGGTGAGCCCAATGAACAGTGTAATGATTGTGAAGCTAAGCTTCAGATATGTTTTCTTTTGAAATTAATATAAGAACTAGAAAAGTAGGTTACAGATTGATTTTATGAGGTCATATTTATGAAATACATAATGTATTTCACATTTCCTCACTTCAAAAGTATCTAACTCATGAGTCAAACTGAGCTGATAGATATTCCATAAACATCAAGCCTAATCTTACCTATGTGGAAGAACCAAAGTATATCATGGATTATGATGAGAAAACATAAAAATCATGCCATCCCTTACGTTAGAGTTCTTTGGAAGCATGGAATGGAACGAGATACTATATGGGGAGATGGATATAAAGATGCTTGCTTAAGGTATGGTTTTAAACTTTTAATACTACATTTTAAATTTTGATAATGAAATATTTATAAGCGTAAAATACTACAAAGACTGAAAGAATTAATTATTTGATTAAAAGGTTAATAATAAATAAATAAAATAAAAATATGTTTCATATTTAATTGAGATGCTTAAATTGAAATAATAAAAAATGACTAATTTTATTTAAGATAAATGGATAATTACATCTGCCAACCCCACCTAGTGGGACAAAGGTTTGATGTTGTTGTATAAATAATTACAAATTTCTACAAAAAGACATAATTTTGAAAGAAAATATTATGGCAAAAGATTTAATGTAAAAGAATTATTTTGTAATAAATAATTTTATAAACTATACAAGGAGCAGGATATAAATTTTTTTTTTAGGGAGCAGGATATAAAGATGCTTGCTTAAGGTATGATTTTAATACTACATTTTAAATTTGGATGATGAAATTTTTATAAGAATACAATACTGTAAGGACCAAAAGAATTAATTATTTGATTAAAAGATTAATATTAATGTTCATAATAAATAAACAATAACAACAACAATAATAGATAAATAAATTTATAAATACATTTCATATTTAATTGAGATGTTTAAATTGAAATGATAAAAACTGAATAATTTTATTCAGATAAATGAATAATTACTAATTTCTAAAAAAGGCATAATTTTGATAGAAAATATGACCCTAAAATATTTAATATAAAACATTTATTTTGTAATAAATAAAAGTATACAAAGCAATACATAAAAACAATAAAGTATATATATAAGATTTATACCTATGAAGTCCATAACTAAAACATGAAGCCTCAAAAGAAACGGAGATGGACACCTGATCCCGGCCGTCCTTAACCTGGAGATATGGATTGAATTTGAAAGTTCAAAGTCAAACTACACTTTGGACTTGAAATATAAAATATTTTGAACTCACTAATAGTATCATGATAACTCATCAACAATATCTCCAAAGAAGATGCAGTGAACACAAGCTATAATGCATCAGCACAATAGTCATATCAAACAGCCAGAGATCACAAATGCAAAGATTTATCAAGAGTAACTATATCCACCTCATGTTGCAGAAGTTAAATAACAAAATGTGAAGGAACTTCCCTTACCGCATAAGATTTCTCATTTCTTTTTCTGCCCAAGTTTTCACCATTTTCCTTGGGTTATGCTTACAATAGCCATGCCTGAAACGGTAATCGCCTTGCACATATCGATCTCGGTCCCTAGAGCGAATAGAAAACATGATTACAAGATAAAAGAAACAAAAAACATATCAGAATATGGTCGCATGCTACAACACAAACATGCAATACAATAAGATAATTCTAAGTGATTAGATGAAATAATTAGATTTTCGTTGCATAATCAAAACATACACGTTGATTAGTTATATATTACATTATGCATGCATTGTTTTTTCATTACGATACCCTCTGACTCGCATAATCCGAGCTTCAGGCTTATAAAAATGACAATTGGGCGACCATTATATGCTTTTCATAATTTTATGTAGTAATTATGCATATATTTTGCAGGTGCATGCTTGTACAGGTTCTTTTGATCAAACTGGTTCCTTTACAGTGGCATGAATATCTAGCCTCAACAGGTCTTCCTCAGGTCTCCCATGCTGTCTCAGAACATTAACTATTAAATTTCCTCAAAAAAGAGATGCCACTACCGCACTTTTAATGAAAGAAAAGTTTCACATCATCATCCTAATTACATTTACACAAATCCATCATACAAGACATCTACAATTACTTGTTTTTCCAGCTTTTTGCATCATCCAACAATTTTTTTTGCTAACTAATTGATTAATCTCCTTCAATATCCCATACAAACTTTATTCTTATCTCCAGTAACAGCAGCATGCATCCAATAGAGCATTATCTACTATTTATTAGATACTTTATGCCTTTGTTATTGCATACCAAACAATATAAACCTTGAACACCATTTCCTTGCATCTATCCTCAAATAAACCTGATGCTCATACTGAATCAATAATAAATAGGGGCTATGAGGTTTCCGCCGGACAAACTCAATAGGGGCTATGAGGTTTCTTATGCCACCAAATTGCTACGCATAAAAATGACAAATTATGAACACGACGTCCAGCGAAAATCCCTCAAATGTCATTTATTTGCGAAACAGACATCATTGTGTCTGAAATGTTGAAAAAGATTAGAAAGAGCACATACATTACTCAAGAAGTTGCATATATATGCATATATACATATAAAATAAAATTTAATAAAATTAGTTTATGCATGTATGAAGAAAACTTAAAACTTACCTAACACTCCCAAACCCTCTCGCACAATTCCTCTCTTCTCCCTCTCGTTTTCTCCCAAGCGCAATCCGGACATCAACATTCTCTCTCTCCCTTTAAGAAAAAAACATAGCTCCAAAGCATGTTCTATTCTTACTTTCGCATGCTCGAGCCTCCCTTCTTCCGTCTCAATCTTCTCTTCCTCTACCTAAGAAGCCACCTAGCTCCTTTGCCTCTTCCTTTGCTCCTAGCTTCCAAAAGCACAATAACCGACACCAATCACCTGCATCAAACCAAACCCCACCATTCGTCTCTCCCTTCACCTTCACACAAAAGCCACCAAACCACCCTCCTCGCAAGCTATTTTTCTCAGTCCTCGCCTGCTTCAACCAAACTTCAACTCACCCTCACTCTGTCTCGAGCAAATCACCATCCTATTCCCACCTCACTCACTCTCTCTCTCTCTTCCACTCTCTTCTTTTTCTCTATAAACAGAGACAACGAAATTTTTACCCCTCTATCTCTTCACTTTTTCTCTCTAAACAGATAGAAAGACCTTTTTTTCTAAAATAGAGAGAATTCTCTACATCACTACTCTCTCTATCCTCTTTCTCTCTTTAATCTCTCCATAAAATAAAATAAAAAAATAAAAAGAGGAATAAAAAAAGAAAGAAAAAGCCTAAATCTTTCGTGTTGTATTCGGCCTCTCAAACTTCATCTTGTCGCTATTGACTTCGTGCAAGTATAAAATAGAACCCGTAAAAGCTCCTTAAATCTCATTTACGATGTGTTTTGTACTTTGACAAGATGCATGTAAACTCGTGCAAGTTTGATGTAGGACTACAATGCTTAAAGTGATATGAAAAGAACTTGCACGATTTCTTGATAAAAACAATTATGATCAGGACTAATAGCAAATAAAAACGACCAAATAAAATATAAGAGTGGTCACTTCCGTTTAGCCCAAGTTGCACAATACGCGCTTGAATTATCAAACAACAAAGAAAATCAACAATATGCAAATGTAATAGCTTTCAACAAAAATCCCTAATCTAACAATAAGATTAGAAACAAATGAAGTGCACTCAATCCCTATGTTTACTAAGCTCGATAGAGTTTGGTGAACGATCTTCATGAATCTATCAAATCACAAGAGCAAGTTGGACAACGGAAATACGTGAAAAGGAAGATTGGCAAACCCCTTTCACGGTTGAGTTGTGATCCTCCACTGAACGATGCCGAGTTGTTCTTCAATAGCTTCGACAAGGATATCCAAAATGCGCTCTATGTATTCTTCTACGGTGTTGTCGGTGCGCAGGTTGACGTCGAAAAAGATTGAGTGAAGAATGCAAACAAGTCCTTGTTCATCTTAGGAGAGACCGTAATCAAGATCCGGATCAGCCATGCATGTCCTTTGAGGTTGAGATGTTGATGACGATCGTTGAGGCTTCCCTTGAAGACCCCTCTTGAGATGGAGGTAATCTAGAGAAATCAAGAAGTGTAAGGGAAAATAGGTGGCCAACCAAGGGTGAGAGCAAGGTTAAGGATTTTAGTTCAGATTTTGGGAAAGGAGATGGAGGGAATTTTAATTCAATACTTCCTAAGTATTCTCTTAATTGAGAATAATTAAAGGAAGAAAGAAAGGCAAGAGGGGGGCGGCGGCAAGGAGAGTGGGAGTGGAAGAGGATTAATTTAATTCCATAAGGAGATACTCCCTTTTGGAAAGAAATTAAATCAATGGGAGCATGGGGATTTCGGACAAGAGAGGTAGTGGGGAGTTTGGAATTATTTCCAAGAGAGGGTGGAAGGATTAGGAAATAAATCCCTAGGGATTTGATTATGGGGCTGGTGGCATCAAGGGCGGGCAAGGGAGGATTAATGAGGGAGATTTGGTATTGCTATTTTGGAACTTGGTGATTAGGAAAGTGTTAAAGGAATTCCAATTAATTTGAAATTCAAATTGAGTTCAATTTAGGAAACTTTCCTAAAATAGATTTAGTAATTTAGGAAAGATTTTAAATTTTAAATTGGATGAATTTGAATTCAAAATCTGCCCAAATTATATCAATCTAAAATAGGCAATGGAACTCAAAGGGGAAAAGGGATCGAGGGCCGGCGGCTTGCTTGGGTTTGGGTATGGGAGCCGGCGGTTAGGTGGGGGTATAGGTGGAGCTCGGCGGGTAAGGGGAAAGGGGCTTGGTGAAGGTGGAGGTTTTGGCGCAAGTGTGGTCGATTGGGGTGAAGAGAGCCGGTGGTGGTGGTGGGAGGATGAAGGGAAGAGGTAAATAATAAAACTATGAACCCGACTCGTCTAGGTTGGTGGGTAATGCGTAATTCTCACTCTCCTAGGGATCTCACTCCAATCTCTCAAGCTCTCATGAGAACTCGAACAAAGAGAATAAACTTTTTTAATCAAACATTCATTAACATCAAAAGAGAATGATGGGTCTATATATAGCCTCGTACAAAGACTCAAGAAAATAAAAGACGACAATGCCCACTGGGCTTACATACGACCTCCCTTAAGTAAGGGATAAAAACGGAAAAACTAATAAAGTAAATACAATATGATATAATAATAAAAATAAATATTACAACTCAGAAATACAATGACCTCATCGTGGTCGTAGATCGACGGCCACGTCTCTTATTCATATATATATACACACACACACACATTAATACTGAATCTTACATATCATCATCAGCTATATTTTTTTCAAAATTTTAAGTGCCAGAATGTGTCATGTTGTTTGTATCCATTCACATGATTCATACAATGCAAGCAAACTAAAGAACCCACATTGAGAGGTGGAACTACTTGGGTATAATTAATTAATGCTTATTATATAATTATAAAAACAATAAAAAAATAGAATGCAAGCAAACTAGAGCAATATATAAAAAAAAATGTTTATTCTCCAGCACAACCAAACTTTTAAGCAAATATTTATTACTAACATAAGATTGGGTGATTGAAGAAAATAAATCAAACTTACTTAAAAACAAGAACAGAAGTTTTGTACACTTTGATTGCCAATTCCTGGCCATCAGCTCTTGTTGCATGATACACATTCGCCTGTGCATAGAGGCATGCATGCAAAAACAACTACAAAGTCAATATTAAACAAGCGCATATATCTAAAGTTAGATTTATTTTTTCATTTGTCATAGTTATTTGTCTACACAATCTATTAGCATGAAAAAGAAACCTATTAAAGCTTGGGAAGCGAGAAGAGAAAGTACACCAAACTTTTACCTCTTTACCAGTAGAAATACAACCATTAATATTTTGAAAAACACCACGATTCAACATCTTGAACAACACCATTCTAGTTCTTGGGTCAATTGCCTGTAAACACATGATATATGGAAACATAAGCTAAGTACATGATAAGAATAAGCAAAACATGATGATGCTAATGCTATTAGACTTTTAAGACTTTAGAAGGAAGAGAATATGTTGCATGAAAAGAACTTACCAACAAAATAGGCCTGCATTGGAATTATGTAAATAGTGTAAAATTCATAACAATTTTACCTCGATCCACGAATAAATGAAACCATGAACATATAATTATAGGCAAACACTCACATACAAGCATGCAAAAGCAGAAAAGTGTACAAAAAAAAATGAAATATGAAGGCGTATGTGAATGCAAGTACTACAAGAAAAATTAAGACAGCTATACAGGAATTTTCCGAGACATATGCAAGTCAAGTTATTGTATTGTCGCAACCAAAAATATATATAAAAGGCCACTTAGTTTGCTACAAACTTTTTAGCATGCAAAATAACCATGTTTTGTTCGAAGTATGACTGTTTATCTACTTTATCTTGTAAAATATTAATTGAGACACTGGGCCTTAAGCATCATCAATTCAAACAGATAAAGTGCTTAAATCTTACACTAAAAATTATTTAAAAAAATGCCAGCACCTTAGAGCACCTCATACGGCCAGCCTTTGTTCAGGAATAAGATACCTCATGCGAGTGTTTACCTAATCTATGGCTACTTAGTATTGAGCTTCTTTTTTATGTTCTTTTTTCGACCTCTTGTTTGACATCTGATGTATCAACTTAAGCTAATTGTGTTAAGCTATACTAATTATGTTATATAAGCTTCAAAATTCTTATTTCATTGATTTTCTTTCTCAATAAACCTTATGAGCTATTTTTATATACTTTCTTATTCTTTCATCATATCACCCTACTCCACAATTCTTTTGATCTCATTTTTGTTTTTACTATTTATTACACATATTTTTTCCAAATTTTATATCATAAAATTTTGCATTGCTGCGCAATTCATTATATTTATTTAAATTGCACAAGTCATGAGTTAGGTTAATATTATATTATAACTCGAGCAAATGTTGTGCTTGTTTAATATCTATCGCTCTATTTACTATAGTTTTGTTTCTTAAACTTCTCAAGATCAAGCAGTTTTATTTCAAGAATTTGTGTGCAATGTTTTCCTGATAAGGATTTTTGTTATACTTTTTTAAGTGGTGAATTTTGAAAAGATAAATGCAACCAGCCTCTGTCCATTCACCACGTACAAATTTTGAGTCTAAACAACTTTATGCCACCTTTCACCTTAATAATTATACATCATATTTTATTCTTCAACTTATTTGTAACCGATGAGGTGATTGTAAAGAAGTTTTGGATATCATGTCTTAACTAGAATGAGCAGCTAAATGGAGTAATTCGAAAACGCCAAAAAGGTATCAATTAGTAAATTTTACAAAAATATAAAGATTTCTTAACCCCATGCTCATACATTAACAGTAAATTTTGATGATAATAATATACTATGTAATGTTTTATTAATGTGGATAAATAGGTAAAAGACAATTGAATTCAATTGAAACATATGAAGACTGATCCTTAGATTAGGAGATTTTTTTCTTACTCTTCCTATGTAAAAGAAACATAAACTAGAGATCAAAGAATGCTAGCAAGAAAAAGAAAATCAATAAAATATATCAGAAATATTAGTATTTTTAGTATATGATATTTTATTTTTCAAAAAATAATCAAAATGATTTTATAAAATTCTATATGACTTGTTAAAATTAGCTAAATAATTTTTGCAAAAATATTGTAATTAGTCATCCAAAACATCATCTTTTACTACTATTACTTTACTATAACACAAGCCACATAAATTTTACAACTAAAGGATGTAGGCTTCACTATATTACAATATTACATATTTTAATAAATCCTTTAGTTGAAATTTCCACGTAATATACTAAGTTTTACTATATTACATGCTAAATCTCTTCTTTTACTACTATTAATTTACTCAAATATGTAGACTTATGAGTCAAACCACGTAAAAAATTCTCTGATGGATTATTATGTGCTCTTTTAGTGCTAATACATAACTACAAATAATCTCCTTATAAAAAAAAACAGTTCTGAAAACCAAATTTTTAACCACCTTAAAATTTAAAATATCCCATTCAACTTCCTTTTGGGTAGTATGCAAACCATCAATTAGTATCAAAATCTCAGCTCTGTTGTTACCTTCACATTCAACCGTTAATTTTCTGGGAATTACAAGTGCATAATCATGTCACGCAAGCATACCATAGGTAAGATTGGTGAGGATCACTCCACTACACGTCCAATTTGTTTGATCAAATCCCTACTGATTTTTGCAAAAATTGTATGATGATCTATCTCTAGTCTTGTGATAAGAGAATTTGAAATATAATTTTAAAAGGATATAGACCTAAAAAGACTTGGTTAGAAAATAATAGAAATGATCTTTCTTTATTAAACTTAGATGAGAATTTGACTCTTAACATGACACAATGAAGAAAAAGGATTCATGTAGCCAATCCCACATGGTTGAATAAAGGCTTCTTCTTATTGGTGTTGTTGTAAAAACATCTATATTTATCAATAATGATGTAGAATCTACTAAACCTATAGAATGATGGCCTCCCATACAACTGCAGTCAGAACTTTCAAATGGAAAAGGGAATAATGCAAATAATGTGCATTGAAATACAGTAACTACGGAAAAATAAGTAATTTAAGAATAGGTAAGGAGACTTGAGATAAATTGGTGCACAAAACTAGAATAAATATTCTCATGCAGGAATATGAATTATTCAAGATAAAAACCGACGAAAGCCTCATCAAGATATTCAAAAGATTCACAATGATCATCAACAGTCAATATGTGTTAGGTAAGAAACATGCAGATAAATACATCTAACCAAATCCTATGTTCCACGCCTAAAGAGTCAGATCGGAAGGTAACCACAATATCGGAAGCTAGAGATTTAAATTTTGATCAACTAAACAGTTCATTGGCAGAACATGACCAAAAGATAAATTCTAAGAAAAGTGAAGAAAATGCCACAAAGAAATAAAAACGTGACATTCAAATGCAATGACTCAGATGAAAGTGATGCAACACTATCAGAAAGTAAAAATGATAAAATTGTTTTGCAAACTTGTCAACTAAGAAAAATGCTCATAAAGAACTGCCACAAATTAAAATGTAAGAAAAGTAATTAAAATCTAAAATTTTAAAAATTAAGTTTGATTTTGCATGTGATAAAAGGAGCTTAAAACAAGCTATAATTGCAAGAAGCTGAGTCACTTTCAATATGAATATCCCTTCAATAAAACAAGAGAAAAAAAAAAAAAGGGGGCACGTCAATAAGAAAGAAAAGAAAGCATTAAGAGTCACTTGATTACTAGATACAAGCACAAATACATGTAACATTTACTGCTCAAGCCCATAAATAATTTGGAAAACTAAACTCACTAAGTATTATTCTTGCCATATCTATAGAAGGGTTCCATTTTTCTTTTGTATTACATCATTTCGTTGCAGCATGCTAGTTTTTGAAAACCTATGATGAACAACTAAATCATCACAAAATGACTCTAAATTTATCATTCAGAAACTCTCCACAATGATCACTTCTAAAAAAAGTGATCAATAACCATTTATTTCTTTGCATCTATTTTACAATTTTTTCAAATTTTAATATTAAATCATTTTTCTTGATTAATAACATGGCCCAAGTGAATCTAAAATAACAACAATCATATATCCAAATTTTCTATTTCCTAAGCTAGTAGGGGTACAAATAAGCCCATGTGTAATAACTATAATAATAAAGTAGTCAAAAAATGATTCTTGGTTTTCCGTGATCTATGAGTTTGCTTACCTGGTTGGCATGCATCATATAAATGGTCATAAGAAAATTCTAATTTTGGTAAACCATTGAATAAATCTTTTCTAGCTTTTTTTGTGATCATATCCATGTTAGCATGGCCTAGCCTTCAATGTCACAAGAATCATCATGACGAACTTTCAAATATTTAAATTGACTTGCAAATAAATAATCAATGTCGAGAAAGCAAATATAGTTGTTTATGCCATGTTAAAATAACTTCATCATTAAATTGAATCAAACAATTTGAAAATGAAAATTGGACGCCATACCCTCTATCAGCAAAGCTGACTAAAGCTAATGAGATTATTTTTTTAATTCACATCAACCAACATAAACTCTATGGCAGTGAATATTTACCGGTATACCGACTCTAATAATTTCCCTCTTTATACTGTCACATAAGAATACAGATCCACCATTTTGAGGATCAATCTAAACGAATTTTGTATGATCATCTGTCATATGCCTCAAGCATCTAATGTCCAAAAAGCACATGCCTTGTTGATCCGATGGTGAAGGCAAAATTGCACGGGACATGGACACATTAGTTTTGAAACCCAAATGGCATTATGTCCATGCATGAAATGGGGGAGAATGATCTGTGAAGGAGTTGATCTTAATATATATGCATATGTGAATTTAAGAATCCAAATAAACTAAAATGATCTATTAATGTTCTTGCCTCTACATTTCCTAGAGATGTGACCTAAACTATCACATATAGTGCATCTAACTCATGTGTGTCCAAATATGTGATGTAAAATTAAATGTCATTTGTTCCTTAAAATATATGGTGTACGATGCACAATAGTTGCGCTGGACCTTTTATGAATTGCAGCATGTAAGTAATCAATTTTGGCCTAAATAATTAACTTTTCCTGAAATATTCTATCATACAATAATACTTTGTTTGATAATAAAATCATTTTATTTTCTACTAGAACTCAACTCATTTTGAATCTCTATATAACGTAAATCAACATTGCTATACTCCTTTTTTAATTTACAATGTTTCTTTTTAGGTTTAATGAATACTTCATTTATATCAAATAGAGTGTCATGCAAATAATCATATGATGAAACATCATTTGTTACCTCCTTGATATGGAGTCATTGATGACCGTCAAATAGATAGCC